TTTCTACTAATTTACGATTTTCATATGCATCTCCGCAATGCTTCTTGTGCTCAGTGTTAACCTTCTCTTGTGCGGTACGTTCCAATTCTTCCATATGACTTATCAATACTTCATCAAATGAGGATGAATCATTATCTTCCTCGTACACCATCATCGTTTCACATCCACTCTTCTCGTGGACGTGGTCCTTAACAGAGAATGTGACAAACAAATTGACACTTTCATTTCCATTCCGCAGGGACAAGAATGTTTCAATGCTTTTTCCGATTCAATGTACACCGGTGGCATGGTTCCACCGACCATGACGTCCATAACACCTTTAACCCAGTAGCTTAGTTGTGCATTCGAGTGTTGTTCATCTACAGAGAACTCGTTGCATATCAATCTTTTCAAATCGGTGTACGCAACATCAGCCTTCATACGTACACACCTCGCCATCTTTTCTTTGTCTATCACAAAATCCCAGACACCAACATCTGAACAATTCCAAACTCCTGCAACAACAAATACTGGGGATTCCATAACCCTGCAATAAATTCACATGTGAAATGAGAATAAATCAGTTAACTTCTTCGCAATAAATGAGAATGTTCCTTAATACAAATGTATGTTCTATTTCATCTCACATCAATAAATTCCCTCTACAAATTATTATTACACTTACCAGGAATAAATGTGGTCCCACTTTCTTCCAAACGCTGTGTACAGAATATGCTTCACGTAAGAACACATCTTCTTCACCAATAATTTTCTTCTTCTTTCTCACAATTCTTCACAATAACTACTTTTATTTACATAACTTTTACCCATTATATTCGAATAAAATCATTATATTTGTAGTTAGTGTACGTATAGATATAGCTTTAGGCCTTATTAATTCTGGTAGATAAACATCTAATCTCATAGCTATTAATTACTCCATATGACTTCTATCAACTCTCTTTAAAGTCACGTGTCAGCTCTCTTTACATGCTCTCTCAAATGACGCAGAGGGCATTTTCGTCCGAGACCAAGTGCCATGTGACATATCTGTTACCCAAATACAGATGTGCTATTTCAGTACTCTGAAACTATTTCTTATGACATTTTTGTAAATTACTCTAAATTTAATTGATTTACAAATAGATTTAAACTTACATATATAAATATATCCTTCTTTACATTTGTTTTTTTTGGTCTAAGAGATTATAGCCTTCTTTACATTTGTTAAAAGATTATATATTCTTTTATTCATCGTTTGACATCATTTTTATATTTTGGAACTATATATTTTTCTTACAAATGATTTTATTAAATTTAATATTTGAAACTACAGTATTACTTTTTCTTTCCTAAAACTATATAATACAAGTTTGCCATATTTAGCGCAATTTAGAACATTACAAAACACAAATATTTCAACCTTTAATTAAATGACGATATTAGGTTTAAAAAAATTAAGATAAATGCAAAAAGTATTTTTGACATTGTTTTGAGATTTCGATTTTGGAAATTAACCATAGAAACGATAAAAACCCAAATCATAATGAACATCTATCAATATATGATGATGATATGTCACAAAAACCGAAGAATGAGATACCTCGAGAGATGGCAGAATTCAAAATATATTAATTCCATTAAGACGAAATTGTTAATTCAAAGAACATACAAAAAATAGTTAACTCAATTTCAAAAATTTAACACATTGATACGCTTAACCTGATGATTGCGCGGATCAGATTAGAATTACCGAAATATATAACTTGGGAGTTTTCACTGACCAATCCGTCAGAAATTGCAATTAAGTTCGACCCGTAACAAGATGAATTAAACAGAGTAGGTTAGTATGCTTTGACATCCTATTACATGTTACCAATCATGCATATAGTTTTACAAAATGTTTTGTGTTAGAAATTGTTTTTACACAATCATGTAGTATTTGTGAATAGTGAC